AGCAAAGTCAGGAGGGGATTTTGCAAATCCCCTTTGACTTTCAGCAAAGTCAGGCAAGACCCTCTGGGTTTCCGGGGCCCCTGCCGGGGCCCATGTGACCTGGTGAAAGGGGGAAGCAGGAAAGGGCCGGAGAGTCTCAGGGACAGATAAATTTGTGGGAGTCAGCCTCCGGGTCCCTGACCTACTTCCATTTGATAAACTCTTACTTGTGAAAATTGCCTTTTAAAAATTACTTATTTTAGACTTCGCGCATGGCGGTGCGGAAATTGACAATAGGCTTCTGTCTGTAAGTTGGCCACCGCTGGGGCCCCACCCCCCAGGGCTCCTACTTGCCACCTCGATTTACATGTTATATTGCATCAGAAACAACCTCCCTACTGATAACCTCATCATCACTGGTGAGCCTTACACCCCTAGGGGTGCTTTCTGCTCTGGGGTTAGTAATTTGTTCCTGGTTGGGTTTTGGGCCCTCAGGTGTCAGGCTGGGAATTTGGGGTCCCTGCCGTGTGGACCTCAAAGCAAGAGGGAGCTGTGTGACCAAGGGTTCTGGCCACCAGGGGCCCAGTCCCGCTGGATTGTGAAATGTAGGGGCTTCGAGGTGGGAATGAAAGCCGTGTTTCCGTGGAATTCTTTCTTTTCTTTTTTTTGTTTTTGCCGCACCGTGAGGCTTGCAGGATCTTAGCTCCCTGATCAGGGATCGAACCCATGCCCCCTGCGTTGGGAGCACGGACTCTTAACTGCTGGACTGCCAGTGAAGTCCCTCGTGGAATTCTTTAAAGCCTGTTGTGGGCCCCGCTGGCTGCTTTATTCATGGCCCTTTCTGTGTTGCTCTCCCCAGCCTGTGGGCCGAAGCTCACCAACTCCCCAACGGTGATTGTCATGGTGGGCCTCCCAGCCCGGGGGAAGACGTACATCTCCAAGAAGCTGACCCGCTACCTCAACTGGATTGGCGTCCCCACGAAAGGTAAGCCTACGCCCCCAGGCCGGGGCTGTCAGGCTGAGGGCACCCTCCCGCTTGCCATGACCACCCCCCCAAAAAAAGAATGGCCTTTTCCTCTCCAGCTGCTGGGACTCTCTTTGCAGGGCCATCTGACAGGGTGCTGTCCCTGTAGTCGAGGGACACACTTTCCTTTCCGGCTGTGCCACCCTCCACCCTGTATGCACACCCCGCTGTGTATGGGAGGGGGAGGGTCTCTTTTCACTGGCTGCTGTCTGGTTCCCACTGCCCTGCATCCTGCCCAGCTCAGCCCTCACCTCCTCCAAGAAGCCTTCTCTGACCACCGCAGTCTGTGTGGATCTTTTCCTTTAAGTTCCCCAAGCCCTTAGTTGTGACACTCCTCTACTGACCGTCATAAAGTGCTCTGTACTGTTGATTATATTTTTGCGAATCTTCACCTGGTCTTCCTGCCTACACGGGGGGTGTTGAGCACGGGGACTAATTTTTCACATTTGCTGCCCACCCCGCCCTGTGCCCAGCGCTGTGCTTCCTACACTAAGCACTGGCTCAGCACCCACTGCCCACCCTGGGTGCGGGCTGCTGATCTGCAGAATGGCTGCTGTGGCCCCGGCCATGTGTACGAGCCCTCACTCTCTCCACCCCCAGTGCATTGGCAGACATGATGGCCCCGATTTTCACTGGGCCTGTGGCTGCCACCTGCTCTCAGGCTCAGGCTCCAGCCCCGGGCCTGGAGAGGCCGGCTTGCAGGCTGGGCCATGGGAGGCAACCCCGGAGAAACAAGGTCCTGGGTTTGGGCGAGCTGGGCAGCCTTCCACGCCAAGCGATGCTGGCACAGGACGCAGAGCCCACTGTCTGGTTTCCGGGTCTCATCGGGATCTTATTCAGGTCACGTGCCGGCTTGCTTTTCTTTTCTGGAAAGAGCGGTCCTGACCATGGGAGGCCCTCCTGGTGGTCGGCGTGGTCAGCATGGTCAGCTAAGGGGCCTTTCTTTTCCGTCCAGTGTTCAACGTGGGCGAGTACCGCCGGGAGGCCGTGAAACAGTACAGCTCCTACAACTTCTTCCGCCCTGACAACGAGGAGGCCATGAAAGTCCGCAGGTGAGGCCCGGGCTGCGGTGGGCAGAGGGGGACGGGCGCTCTGTAGCGCCAGGTCGGGTGAGAGAGAGGCAGCTAGTCCCCGTCCTTGTGTATCCGCGTGAGCCTCTCAGCCTCTGAGCCTCACTGACCCCGCTGTCCGACAGCAACATCTCATTAGGAGTGAACTAAATCATTTTCCTGGAAAATCATCTGTTTACGTTGGGAGAGGATTTTCTTTTCAGCTCAGAGTGACCAGGGAACTGAAGTGTGACAGCTGCACTTTAGAATCACTCGGGAGCTGGGCACAGCCCTGCCCAGATGGGTACAGTGGGCATTTGTGGGCAGGACCTGGGCATCCGTGTTTTGAAAGCTCCCAGGGGAATTTCAGTGTGCAGCCGGCACAAGGCCGAGTCCCAAGTGCTGCGGCCACGTGTGTGGGGCTCCCATCGGGGGCCTCGGGCCTGACGGTCCCACCTGCCTGAGCAGTTTAGCAGTAGAATCACAGGTCACCCTGCTCGTTGGGGTGAATTGGGGGTGCCTGCGCGTCCTCCTGCGATGGCCCAGCTCTGACGTGCCCTTGCTCTTTCTGTGTGTTGCAGGCAGTGTGCGCTGGCTGCCTTGAGAGATGTCAAAAGTTACCTGACGAAGGAAGGGGGCCAAATTGCAGTAAGCCTGGAGTATAAGCCCTGTCTCCGATCCCAGCGGGATGGTGCCCTGCGGGGGGAGGGAATGTAGTCAGAGCTGCGTGGGGACATCTCCAGTGGGGATGGGTGTCTGGCCTGAGCTGTGAGGGAAGCAGGGGGCAAGGGCAGCACAGGGACTCGGGAGGAAGGTGATCGTCCGGCGGACTCGGGAGGAAGGTGATCGTCCGGCGGACTCGGGGGCACAGGCAGCTGGACCTGGGGCGGCTGCAGCCGAGGGAGCCAGTGTCCCTTCCTTGTGCTCCCTCCCCTGCGTATGGCTGTTGTTCCTTTGCTTTAAGTTCTATTCCCATCCCTCCCCTTCCATCCTTGAGTGCAGGAGGAGGCAGTGGGGTGCCTGGGAGGGTGAGGTCTCTCCTGGAGCCCCAGGAAGTGCCAGGCCTGACCTCTGGTGGTTTGGTAAACACTGTTCAACTCAAACTGGGCTCTCTTCATTGCCCTTCTTTCTCCCTGCCAGGTTTTCGACGCCACCAATACTACTAGAGAGAGGAGACACATGATCCTTCATTTTGCCAAAGAAAATGATTTCAAGGTGAGCCTGACTTCTCGTCTCGCCTCAGAGCGCTCAGGAGCAAGGGAAGCCCCGCAGGGATTGGCTGGTTCCTGTGTCTGGAGCACCTGTGCTCCATGCTCAGGCCTTCCCCTCTCGCTGCTTGGGTTTTGCTGCCTACAGATTGGGCCTGACTGGTGGGGGCTCTTAGGGGTTACAGCGACTAGGGAGGGGGAGGGGGAGCATCCCTCTATTGGGGGCGGGTGCAGAGGGCTCAGGACTGAGTGGCTGGTTCCTTTTTCTGTATTTGGGGATTTATGAGTGGGGTCCTTTCTGCTCCGATGTGGTAGTGACATCACAGTGATACCAAAGTTGGCCCTTTGTGTTACCACATTTGTTGTTTCTTAGCGTTTCTGTCTTGCTTCGTCCCAGGTGTTTTTCATTGAGTCTGTGTGTGATGATCCTACAGTTGTGGCCTCCAACATCATGGTAAGACCCTTTGTAGTGTGCTAATCTGAGAAAAGTGAGGGACTGGGTTGGTCCAGAGAAGCCACCCTGAGAAAGAGCTGGCTCTCCCAGCTGGTTGTTGACTTTGTCTGAGGAGGGATCGGGGCGGTCAGAAGTACAGAGCGGTATTTAACTTAAAAGCACATTCTGTGACTTGGACTGGCTTTATCAAGGTCCTTTCAGATGGTTGGCAGAAAGCTGTCTTTGTGGGACATAAGAGAGAAATTGGGGAACCTCGAACAGTTTCTGTTGGTGGCAGGAGCCTGGCAGTTGGGGGGTGATGGGGCTGCTTAGGGCAAAGAGCAGCTCACCCCTCCAGACGGGAAAGGAGGTCGCAGGCTGGTCTCTTTTGCTGTAAAGGCCCCTGGTAGGTAAGCATGGTTGTGTATTGACAAAAGCACGTAGGACTCAGCAGACAGAAGGCAGAATTCCCAAATTTGGGAAGAATGTGGGTGGTTAAACCATCTTCCTGCTCCTCTCCCTGTACCAAGGGGAAGTTGCCTGGGTAAATTGAGGGTAATTGGCAGTTTAATTTGATTAATTCTTAAATTTTATTTGATAGCAATAGCTCATAAACAGAAACGGTTACTATGAAGACTTCACCGCAGTTCCCTTTCTTAGATCGTAGATAATTTCTTCTCCAGCTTAAATACATCAGAGTAAGACGTTACCTGTAAAGAAAAGCTGGTCCGACACTCCTACAGGGAGCGCTAGAGTTTGGCCGCATACAAGTGCTCATCCTTTAAAGGGATGCTGGGAGTTAGTTAGCTTTTGGTGTTGGGCCTTTTCTCCAAGGCAGTGGGAATATTTACACGCATTTCTCAGAAATGAGTTCATATTTCAGGAAGAGCAATTGAAATGGTAGAAAATCAGTCCAGATTGGTTTCAGTGGCCCCAAAGGAAGAGGCTCAGAGTAGGAGGAAACAGAAGTTGGCATGCTCTAAAAAAAGGGTTTTGCTGTATTTCTTTGGTTTGGTTCTACCATTTCCACTTGGTAGGGAAGCAGAGTGCAGCTGCAGAATCGTTTTTCCCCAGTGAGCCGTCTACACTCGCTTTGGCCAGAAACTCTGTCTCATCCTCTGTGAATCCGTGGATCTGTTTGCCCCGACCCTCTCCGTGTTCAGAGATCTCTTTCTCTGATGAAGCCTCAAAGCAACTTTGCGGTTTTTAGGCCTTTCTGTTGTGCTTTTTATGCAAAGGCTGTGCTGGAGAAAGGGGTTTGTGAACTGAGATTTTTTTTTTTTTTAATTGTGCTAAAATATACGTAATATAAAAGGTACCATTTTGACCGTTTTTAAGTGTTCAGCTCCGTGACACTCAGCACATTCACATTGTTGGGAAGCCATCCCCAGCATCCACCTCCAGAACTTTTTCATCTTCCCAGAATGTAACCGTGCACCCATGAAACTCCCTGCTG